ACCGAAACCCCCGCGGCCCGCTTCAATGCTCGTTTATCAGTGACTAAGGAGCTTAGCAGAAGCTCTTTATTAATTTTATCGAATCGATTCTATGCGAATCGATATTGGCCGACTACCGGACTGGATAACTTTAAATCTCGTCGGGTCTGAATGTAATTACCGGATGGATTAAGTTACACGTAAGGCGAGGCATTCTTTCGTGATCGATCCTCGTGAAGATGTCGGACTGTGAATCGGAATAGATGTATGATTTATATGTAAATGATTTTCATTGTTTTATGCTTGATAATGTGTCAATGATTTTGTAATTTAATGCAGAGATGCACTGATTTCTGTGGATTGCAACTGATCATGAAGTTTTGTATATTTTATAGACAATACAATTTGAATATTAAAGAAACTGATCATTACTCTATTGTCTATTCGTATGCTTGCTCTTAATTATTCCTTTCGAAGTAAATCAGAAAACAGAAGGATCTTAGATAATGTAATTATTATGTAATTGTAATGAACAGTATTGGGAAGAGCAGAACATTCTTTCACTAAATGCATAATCTTTTATTTCGGTAAAAATAATGCGAGTACAACGATACACAGCCGCGTAGTCGGAGAAAGAGGATGAGCTCGGTTACACGTAACGTTAGAATCGTTATAGCAATAGGACGCATTTATTATCCATTGATCGTGCTTAGTTAATAATTTATGACAGTCGTGATCGACCGAACTGTCGTCGCGGAGCGCCTCTCATTATTACCGCAGGCTACGCCTATGCGTGTCATACACCGCGTCTAATGAAAATTGTAAGCATCATCGATTTGTGTCGCTAACGATGAAATTCAAACGACGTACACTCGGATAGCATTACAGTTTCAAAACACGGAAATTGCGAAAGAAATTTACCCGCCGTAAAAAGTAAAGAAAAAACCGTTAACAATTACTCTTCAAAAGTAATATCCCTCCAAAAATATATTCCGCGAATGTACGATAAGCGAAGAAAATAATGCCGTCAATAACAATTCCCATTTTTCAGCCTCGAATATTACGAAAAAACGAGATCGAACGTTGATGTAATTCACCTCTGGAAGGTACAATGAAAATTTTCCATGTGAATAATCGGTCGATAAACCAGCGAATGTGGCACGAAATTACGTTGCTGTTTCGTCCTACGGAGGAACGTGTCATCGATACGGTCCGATATTCTAGCATAATTATTTCAGAGTATGTTTTCATCTCGCTGGATGGTACGCGTCGAGAGTGGTTCGTTGAATCAACGAGGTGAACGCGTAGGGGCGGTCGTGAGGGAAAACGAGTTATCGTCGTGGGCGTGAATCGCGAGCGCTCGAAACTTTCGATTCGGAGCCTATCCACGTGTTAGCAAGGTTGGTTACGAAAATATCGGTTGCGGGGCTGACGGTGAGCGCAGGGGCGGCGGGGTGCCAACACCGAGAGACAGCCGAACGATTTTAAAGTTGAATGCGTTTCGCGCGCGGTGCAACGGCGACGCGAACGAGATCGTATCAATTGTTTCCCCCGGTTAGGCATCATCCTTTTTCCGGGGGGTTAATTGAGGAGCAAAGCTTCAATTCCGCGGAATTCACGCCTGCGGCACACAACCGGAGGTCCCCGGCCGTCGGTGCGAGCGACGGGTTGGAAAAACGATTACTTTTTTTTCGACGCTGTTTGACAAACTCCCGTTGCGCCGTTTTCTTCTGTTTTTCCTTCCCACTTTCGCGGCGCGCAGGAAATATGACCGGGGGAGCCGTTCCCGCGCGGAATTGGAAATTTCATTAGGCCGTATCGTTCGCTCGTTTCGTTTTTGTTGCGATACCTCCGATTATCTTTGACGTTCGTTTTTCGAGTCCTGAGAAGATGGATGCTTGGAATTTTGTTTGGAGCTTCTGTTCGCGTTGCGGATACTTTTATCCTTTGAATGTTCTTCGTGACAATTCGTTATTATGTACTTCGTTACGGAAACATACGAACGAATTGACACCGTTAATTTATAAATATTGCAATCGAATTACAGATAAACTTGATAAATCTGAAAAACGCCGAAGGATTCAATTTATTTGTATAAAGAAGAATAATAATACGAAATTGAATCGCGTGAAATCGTAGCAACGATACAAAGACAGAACGATGATAACGAAATAATGAAAATTCGCGAGTCAATGAACGACCCCTGGCGTAATCTTTGGTTTCGGTTAATTGCTTCAGCCGGGACCAAGTCGAAGATCCTTGATACGGAGTGCAAATTATTCCCATTTTCTAATTTATTTACCAGGGGCAGCTACCTGTCATTTGTCCTCCGTTTTATTCGCAATCGATACACACCTACGACTCCGAGTTACTTTGCGCCGTGTTTCGATCACACGACCGAGGGTATGGGTTCCAGATAAGTACGCATCGGCGTTCTATACACGTGGAATCGTTCGACGTCGGTGGCAGGGAACGGAAGGGACGAGCAGGCAGAGGCAGAAGGGGGGAGAGGGTAAGTTCTCGAAGTTGCTCGTAATAATGTCCGCCATTAGCAATGGGGTAGGTTATCGCTTTGCGGACGAAGCTGAGAGGAAGGACAGCTGGAATTAACAGCGTGTCGATATCGTTCAACTTATCCTGTAAGTACGGCGATCAACGAAACGAAGCCATTTTCGGGGTATCGAGAATAGAATTCTTAAGGGGATCAGGGTTATTTGTATCGATCACCGTTTTTCAAACGGCGTGTAACGGATAATTGTTTAAATCCGAAAATGAAAGAATCGCGGACAACGAGGATGCAGATTTTAAATGCAAA